GAGAACTCGAGCGAGCTAGTGGGCCGCAAGTTGGAGATGATCGCGGGCTTGGACTTGGCGGGCCGTGGAACGCGAGCGACGCGAGTTCGAACCCTCGCGGCGACAACATTTCTTTTTTTGAAGCGAAGCGAAGCTTGGACTTGGCGGGCCGGAGATCTCGAGCGAGCTAGTGGGCCGCAAGTTGGAGATGATCGCGGGCTTGGACTTGGCGGGCCGTGGAACGCGAGCGAGCTAGTGGTCCGCGAACTTGGAGTTGGACCTCCGGGCTTCGTTGCGCCGAGGTGGTGGCTGATCCGCGAGTTCATAGCGCGCGGGCTATAGCCGCGAGTGGGCTTGGCGGGTCGGGGAGGAGCGAGCGAGCTTGCGGATCGCGAGTAGAGGGCGCGAGCAGGACAACACGGAATGAGAACGAGCGGGCTTGACCTCGCGGCCCGGGAGATATGAGTGATTAGTTTTGACTTGAAGAGGCGGCGACAAAGTTTGTTGAAAAAGGGATATCGCGTAAATGTTCACAACTCGACTTGTAGACTGCTGGTCAGTGTGTTTGAATGTTGAAGGAGTGGCGCGGGCTCGATTCCTGGTGGTGACAAATTTTTTTTTTTTTTAACTGAGTGGGCGCGAATAGTGCATGACTATTGCTATTTTTTGTTCTCTCGAACTGAGTGGGCGCGAATAGTTCATGACTATTGCTATTTTTTGTTCTTTCGAACTGAGTGGGCGCGAATAGTGCGTGACTATTGCTATTTTTTGTTCTTTCGAACTGAGTGGGCGCGAATAGTTCGTGACTATTGCGACTTTTTGTTCCGTGGAACTGTGTTTTTCACTGATAGCTCTGCGCCATGGAGTTTTTATGCCAAATCTCAGACAATTATGACTTGGTAACTAACTGAATGTGCTCGGACTGGGTTTTACCGGGGGGAATGAAAATCAAATCTTCCCATTCGGAGTTTTTCTCACTTGTCTACACAAGAAATGGAGTCGAGCATGAATATGGGCGGCCAATACTTTACGTTGTAAACACTGATCCAAATAACAAATCCATTACCTCCATTTTCCTAAGAACGTCTTCTAGGCTCCCCACCTGCTAAGACAAAAGAACATCACATGTAGTGGTGTACCCACCACAGTCAAATCTCAACACAAAAGGAGTTTCAAAGTAAGCACTTAAATAAGAGATTTTGGTTTGAAAGCAAATAGGAGATAATCAAAATGTCCTAATCATGTATCCATCCTCAATAGAGAGCATGAATCCTACATGTTATTGCTATTATTATCCATGGGTAGCCAGTTGTTTGTACCATCTAGCTCGAGGTATGAACAATAATGATTGTTGTGTGGGTCGACTCGTCATCTGTTCGTCTGATCTCGTCGGGAGGGAAGAAACCTGTGAAAAGTGCCGGGGTTGCCCCCCGGATTAAGCTCCGACGGTCAAGTTAGTGTATGTTTGTGGAGAGAGTTGAGAGAATAGATAGAGAGATAAAGTGTAGAGAGATAGTAGAAAGTGGAAAGTGAGGAGAGAGAAGAAATCCTCTTCCTTGGTGGGTTTCATACCTTTATATACTCGTAGCGGGTTTAGAGCGTCATACGTTGTCGATTGGACGCGGTATTACTTAGTCTCTGCAGGGAGTCCCTTAGCAACACCCCCAACAATTGCCCCCCAAGCTGGTGGTGAGTTTTAACTCATCACTAGCTTATATTTTATTTTTTAAATCTTCGTCGGTAATTTTGGGTGGGGCCCTATGTACCCCAGTTGCCCCCCAGCTGGTGGCGCGTTTGACTGACGCGGTGCCAGCTTCTTGCGTCTTGCCCCCCATTAGTGCCATTAGCGCTCATGAAAGTAAAATATTTCAATTTTTAATAATGATAGATGGATAGAGTACTGAGATTTAAATTGGAGAGGCGGCAGGATACCGATTAAGTGGAATGCGCCGCACTATTTTGGTACAAGGCGTGTATGTAGCCTACTGGTATTGTTGATTGTCATGCGGAGGAGTAACGCGAGTTCGAAGCCTCGCGGCGACAACATTTCTTTTTTTGAAGCGAAGCGAAGCTTGGACTTGGCGGGCCGGAGAACTCGAGCGAGCTAGTGGGCCGCAAGTTGGAGATGATCGCGGGCTTGGACTTGGCGGGCCGTGGAACGCGAGCGACGCGAGTTCGAACCCTCGCGGCGACAACATTTCTTTTTTTGAAGCGAAGCGAAGCTTGGACTTGGCGGGCCGGAGATCTCGAGCGAGCTAGTGGGCCGCAAGTTGGAGATGATCGCGGGCTTGGACTTGGCGGGCCGTGGAACGCGAGCGAGCTAGTGGTCCGCGAACTTGGAGTTGGACCTCCGGGCTTCGTTGCGCCGAGGTGGTGGCTGATCCGCGAGTTCATAGCGCGCGGGCTATAGCCGCGAGTGGGCTTGGCGGGTCGGGGAGGAGCGAGCGAGCTTGCGGATCGCGAGTAGAGGGCGCGAGCAGGACAACACGGAATGAGAACGAGCGGGCTTGACCTCGCGGCCCGGGAGATATGAGTGATTAGTTTTGACTTGAAGAGGCGGCGACAAAGTTTGTTGAAAAAGGGATATCGCGTAAATGTTCACAACTCGACTTGTAGACTGCTGGTCAGTGTGTTTGAATGTTGAAGGAGTGGCGCGGGCTCGATTCCTGGTGGTGACAAATTTTTTTTTTTTTAACTGAGTGGGCGCGAATAGTGCATGACTATTGCTATTTTTTGTTCTCTCGAACTGAGTGGGCGCGAATAGTTCATGACTATTGCTATTTTTTGTTCTTTCGAACTGAGTGGGCGCGAATAGTGCGTGACTATTGCTATTTTTTGTTCTTTCGAACTGAGTGGGCGCGAATAGTTCGTGACTATTGCGACTTTTTGTTCCGTGGAACTGTGTTTTTCACTGATAGCTCTGCGCCATGGAGTTTTTATGCCAAATCTCAGACAATTATGACTTGGTAACTAACTGAATGTGCTCGGACTGGGTTTTACCGGGGGGAATGAAAATCAAATCTTCCCATTCGGAGTTTTTCTCACTTGTCTACACAAGAAATGGAGTCGAGCATGAATATGGGCGGCCAATACTTTACGTTGTAAACACTGATCCAAATAACAAATCCATTACCTCCATTTTCCTAAGAACGTCTTCTAGGCTCCCCACCTGCTAAGACAAAAGAACATCACATGTAGTGGTGTACCCACCACAGTCAAATCTCAACACAAAAGGAGTTTCAAAGTAAGCACTTAAATAAGAGATTTTGGTTTGAAAGCAAATAGGAGATAATCAAAATGTCCTAATAATGTATCCATCCTCAATAGAGAGCATGAATCCTACATGTTATTGCTATTATTATCCATGGGTAGCCAGTTGTTTGTACCATCTAGCTCGAGGTATGAACAATAATGATTGTTGTGTGGGTCGACTCGTCATCTGTTCGTCTGATCTCGTCGGGAGGGAAGAAACCTGTGAAAAGTGCCGGGGTTGCCCCCCGGATTAAGCTCCGACGGTCAAGTTAGTGTATGTTTGTGGAGAGAGTTGAGAGAATAGATAGAGAGATAAAGTGTAGAGAGATAGTAGAAAGTGGAAAGTGAGGAGAGAGAAGAAATCCTCTTCCTTGGTGGGTTTCATACCTTTATATACTCGTAGCGGGTTTAGAGCGTCATACGTTGTCGATTGGACGCGGTATTACTTAGTCTCTGTGGGGAGTCCCTTAGCAACACCCCCAACACCAGTCATTCAAGAGTTCAATTTAGTTGGCATTTCCTTACAAGGATTTTTCAACTTTTTTCTTTGCACTAAATATCTCAAAGCTGGTAGAGAGCCATGTACTCCCCAATCACAACACACAAACACAAGGTGACTCAAATACAACAACTAAACCTAACACATGGACATAACCATGAGTTGATGCTTAACTGAAGACCGATCAAGGAAAAAATGACGAGCATGCGTGTATTAGGTAACAACGATCACAAAGCACCAGAAATGTCTAATTTTCAGAGTAAAAAATCTTCCAAAGGGATTCCATGCTTTCATACCATAGGCACGCCTCTCGACGACTTGGAAACCTTCGCCAGCTCCTTGTCTATGTCTTCCTACATTGCACAAGGTGATTTGTTAACTACTAGCTTAAACATTGCTAGAGTATGCGTAGTGAACAAGCAACTCATTCAAGGATATTAGGTCGTCGAAGTACCTTTTGGAAATATATGGGGCAGAACCACCTGTTTTTCTTCTTTACTACCTAAAGGTCTGACTGAATAAGAGGGGTCCTGGAAAAGCATTGATCAGGTATTATTTAGGTCACAGTAAATCTCACGGAAGAGACAGACTATGTAAGTACTAAATTCCCGCTCTCTTTACTTGAGCAGGAAACCAAACATAACATGATTCAATAAATTAAGTGGCAATACTTCCATAACTGGTGATCTACAACAACAACAAAGACACTTGACATCATATCGGTTGACCTGCAGCTAAGAGGGAAAGCTAAGTAGTGAGGCAAGCAACATACCTGGAAAACCGGAACTCTATCAAAGCCACTCCTTATGTCAGAAGCTTTCAGCTGGTAAACATAAGATTGATCTTCATCATTAGTGACTCAGATGATACAGAGGCATGAATATAACTTCTTAAAAGTTATCGATATGTCCACAACTCACAAAGCAAGGAAAATGTGTAATAAGCACTAATAGGATAAAATGAACAAGGGCATATTGTGAGATTCTAGGCTGGATGGAGATGTTTTTAGGTTTTGGTTTTTTGGAGAATAACACAGCAAAGGAACTGAAAGAAACTGATTTAATTAAGACACTGAAGCTATTCTGCAGTCATCATGACTGCTTTTTGGAAAGGGAAAGACAATCAAAATACAGGTGAAAGAAAGAAAAGGGAAAAACACAGATGGAAGATCGGTGAACTGAGGACCGAACAATCTTCCCACTCCTATCTACCCAGAACCACTCTCTATAGATGAGGAGACTGAAGATTGTTCAAAACAACCCGAACCCTTGACAACCTAATAGATTTACTATTCAAGCTGCAACCGTTACTCTTCTTCATATGGAGATGGCCTTTAAATAGGCAGAAATCTTCAGGACCGTTTGAAGAAGGTCCGTTGATGTAGCCATGCTTTTGAGAAGCACAAGGTTTGTAGGAATCCTGGTGCTTGGAGAAAGCGGTTCTCTCTTTTGCTTTTGGGTGCTGAGGAAGAAGATGAAGGATAAGGCTGATAGAACCGAAGCCAATCCAAGCCACTCCAAGGATCGTAGAGATAAGCATCACTGATGAGTTGAGAGCGGCGTCATATGGTTGATGCGGCAGCGATGTCGTTTGAGGCTTTGGTGAAGTCTGCGTCCTCTAGTGGCAGCGGCGACGTTTTGGTCGAGACGCATCGTTTTGGGCTGAGGTGTCATCTCACAATTTCCCCCTTCAGCCGTTCCTCCATATCTTGTGAGTTCCTGAAACGAAACAAAAAGCAGCCAAACATACCCAAGCATAACTGATAGCAAAAGAAATCAGGGAACCAACATAAAATCAGCAATCACCCATGGATTGCAAAGTACCCAAAGTAGTCAAGTTCAAGTTCAGCAATCACCCACGGATTGCAAAGTACTTAAAACATCACAAAATGTCTAGCAATCGTGTACAGATTGCAAATAGAACTGGAAAGACACATAATATTCTGAAGAGAAATACTGCAGTCAAAAGTTCCCCCTGGGAATATGCAACAAAAGTTTCCCCCTAAGATCAGCCATCCGCTACTGAGAAGAGCCAGGAACTGGAGAGTTAGAATCAGCTTCAAGTTCTTCATCCGATGACTCGGATGAGGAGTCATTTAGAGCAAATAAAAGGCCAAGGTTGGAAGGATCCCGCAATGGAGTTCGAGTAGGAGAGGGAGGAACATGAAACCCCAGACATGTCAGAACATTTCTGGCACTGAGATGAATGGTAGGTGATTCAGATCGAAAACCAGAGATGTTGATATTTGTGTTTGCGAGAAGTGAAGTAACAATGCCTCCAAAAGGCAGAGACCCATCTCCTGGGGAGATCATAGCTCCGAATAAAAGTGAACAATAGTCAAGTTTCTGACCGGCTGTAGCATGAGACAAAACCCAGATGTCAAGAGGAAGAACTTGATCTCTAGAGTATCCACGAGGCAGTAGCACTCGAGTCAGAAAATAGTGAAAGATCCTTAGTTTAGGACATAGGCGAGATGCAGGGAAGACTTCGAAGGAGGAGTCAACTGGCTGTCCAGAGAACTTGGAGCCTTCAACATGAAGATTGAAATCAAACTTCCACATTTCAGATGTATGAGAGAGAGCTAGACCAGTGGAAGGATACCCTAGAATAATGCTCAGAGCACGCATAGGGATAGACAAAAGATGTCCATAAACAAGAGTAGAGAATCTTTTAGTCTGAATCCCCAGACATCGAAGATTGCTATAAAAGTGTTTCACTAGTTCAGGACATGCTGGCTGAGCAGGAAGGTTGATTAGGAACTCCCAGCCAAGAGCACTGATAAGAGGCATGATGTCCATGCCAAAAGGAATAAACTCATGGGGATCAATACGAATTTGGAAAGCAAGGGGCCGTTGATCAAAATGTCCAAGATAGCGATGATGATTTATGATGGCAGGCTCTCTATGGATGGAGGAAATGTATGTATGAACAAACCCAAGCGATCTGAGGAGATCAGACATCTTGATGGTTTGAAAAGTGAGTAAGGGTGAGAAGGTGAGTAAGCTCAGAATGAGCTCAGATGTATTTATAGGAAAAGCACATAAATCCGCATGGGAGCCAAAAACTGGGAATAAGCAAACAGTAAATGCAGGCATGCATACAGCTTCGTAACTCAAACAAGCATGCTCATAAAATGCAGAAAAGAGACCAATCTCATTGCAACAGTAAATAAAGAAAATAAAAAGAGAAGGGAAATAAATGCATATCCAATGAGATTTGCTATGGAGAAAGAGTGCAAATCTGATTAAAGGATTTGAGACCAATTTCAGTACATAAAGCAACAAACCTGTCAGTAGGCAGAGGTTTAGTAAATAGATCAGTAAGTTGATTTTCAGTAGGTACAAACTGAAGCTCAATTTTTCCAAGTTGTACTAAGTCTCGAATAAAGTGGTGCTTAATTTCAATATGTTTAGTACGAGAGTGTTGGACATGATTTTTTGACATACAGATTGTGCTTGTATTATCACAGCAAATGGGTATTTTAGAAAATTCAAGACCATAATCAGATAGTTGTGATTTCATCCACATTAATTGTGTACAGCAACTTCCACCAGCCATGTATTCTGCTTCAGCTGTTGACAGAGCAACAACACCTTGTTTTTTACTAAACCAAGAAACTAGACATGGACCCAGAAAATGACTAGAACCTGATGTGCTTTTTCTATCCGTAATGCTGCCAGCAAAATCAGAATCACTGAATCCAACTAGGTCAAAGTAATCACACTTAGGGTACCACAACCCAAGATCAGATGTTCCTTTTAGATATTTGAAGATTCGTTTAACAGCAGTTAGATGAGATTCCTTAGGGCAAGATTGAAATCGAGCACATAAACCCACACTGAATTGAATATCAGGCCTACTAGCAGTCAAGTATAAGAGAGACCCAATCATACCACGATATTTCTTTTCACAGACTGAAATTCCATTTTCATCTTTATCTAGTTTGGAATTTGCAGTCATAGGAGTGTTACAGGGATTGATATGTTCAAGATCAAATTTTCTTAGCATAGAGTCGATGTATTTAGACTGAGAGATGAAAATTCCAGAACTCATTTGTTTAATTTGAAGCCCAAGGAAATACGAAAGTTCACCCATCATGCTCATTTCAAAAACATTTTTCATGGAGTTGCAAAATTCAGAGCACATATTTGGATTAGTGGATCCAAACACTATATCATCTACATAAATTTGTACAATTAGTATGTCAGAGTTTTTTCTTTTGATGAATAGTGTTTTATCAACTCCTCCTTGTTCAAATTTTTCTTCAATAAGAAATTCTGTTAGACGATCAAACCAAGCTCGTGGAGCTTGTTTTAGACCATATAGGGCTTTAGATAGTTTGTAGACATGGTTTGGATATTTAGGATCAATGAAACCAGGAGGCTGAGCTACATATACTTCTTCTTTGATAACTCCGTTTAAAAAAGCACTTTTGACATCCATTTGGAAAAGAGGAATTTTCATGAAGCAAGCAAAAGCACACAGCATTCTTATGGATTCAATTCTAGCAACGGGAGCAAATGTTTCATCAAAATCAATTCCTTCTTCTTGATTATAGCCTTGAGCTACTAATCGAGCCATGTTTTTTATTATTATTCCTAATTCATCAGATTTATTACGAAAAACCCATTTTGTTCCTATTACAGATTTTCCTAATGGCAGAGGAACCAATTCCCAAACTTTTAATATGACAAATTGAATTAACTCTTCTTGCATAGTATTTGTCCATTCTTCATCATTGAGTGCTTCTTTGTAATTTTTAGGTTCAAGTTGAGACACAAAAGCATATTGTCCAGGAATATACTTACCTCGAGTTTTGATTTTGTCATCTATATTGCCGAGGATGAGTGACTCAGGGTGTCTTTTTCTTATGTGTGCAGGGGCAGATTTTGAGTGAGAATGCAAGTCCACGTTTTGAACTGCTTCAGCATCTTCAGAAGTTGGTTCATGAGTGGGGTCTGATGCATTTTCTATATCTGCAGACTTAGAGGAATGGTTAAATTCAAGTGAAGGAAACACAGAATTACAAGGATCAATAGGAGTAGATGATATTAAATCATCAAATTTGACAAAGACAGATTCTTCCACACGTCTGGAAATCTTGTTGAACACACGAAATGCTTGTCCTTTTGTGGAATATCCCACAAAAATACATGGATCTGATTTAGAGTCAAATTTACCCCTATGATCTTTTGTGTTTAAGGCATAGCATTTACATCCGAAAGGATGGAAGTAGTTAAGATTTGGGGTTTTATTTTTTAAAATTTCATATGGTGTTTTATTTAAGCTTTTACGAATGAGAACTCGATTTATAGTATAGCATGCAGTGTTGACAGCTTCAGCCCACAGATTCTTTGGAGAATTAAACTCAAGGAGCATAGTGCGGGCAGTTTCAATAATGGTACGATTTTTTCTTTCTACAACACCATTCTGTTGTGGGGTTCTAGGAGCAGAGAAAGAGTGGTTAATTCCTTTTCCATTGCATAAAGTTTCAAAGTTTTCATTAATGAATTCTCCACCATTATCACTTCTAATTGATTTTAAACATGCAGAGGAGTCATTTAATACTTGAGCAACAAAGGTTTTAAATTTTTCGAAAGTTTCATCTTTTGAAGCCAAAAAGAATACCCAAGAGAATCTAGAGAAATCATCAACAAGCACAAATACATAGGATTTCCCTCCTAGACTTGTAATATTGCAAGGACCAAACAGATCCATATGAACAAGTTCATAGCAAGCAGTTGTAGTTATATCCTTTTTTTGTTTAAAGTTTTTCTTAGCATGTTTTCCAGCAATGCATGCATCACAAAAGAAGTTTTGTTTTTCTTTCAAGATAGGAATACCTCTGGCAGACTTAGATTTGGATAGTTTAGATAATTTTGCTAAGCATATATGTCCCAGTATTCTATGCCACAGAGATTCCAGATCCTGAGATAAAGCTTGGAAGCAAGTTTCATTGAAGGAATCAAGATTGTTTAGATCAACAATATAGATGTTTTCCTTTTGAGTACCAAAGAAAAGTAGTTTTCCATCGCTAATTCTTTCTATTTTACATAAAGAAGCTTCAAAACTAACTTTATTTCCATATTTGCAGAGCTGGCTAATGGAAAGAAGATTGTGTTTAAGTCCATCTACTAGTAGAACATTATCAATAGTGGGAAAAGGAGAATTACCAATGGTACCATTTCCAAACACCCTACCATTTCTATCATCTCCAAAGGTAACCTTACCTCCCTTTTTATAAACTAGAGAAGAGAAGAGATTTTCATTGCCTGTCATGTGGTGGGAGCAACCACTGTCAAGATACCAGATGTTTTCAGAGGCTCCCAAGTTCTGCAAGAATCAGAGAACTACTGCGCCTTTCCTCGTGCCTTACGTAGACCATGATAAATCCCGCCCCACCTTATTCCTCTCCCTGCCTCGTCCCCAGCCTCAGGTCTCTCTCACTGCCACTCTCTCTATCTTCTGTTTGGTTCCAGGGAAAATTTCTGGGTATTCTATCTTTGTTTTCAGTTCCGGATTTTGGGAAACACTGTAGTCTGGGTTGGTTTTGATTTGTGTTGGGGAATCGTCAAAATCTTGAAATTGAACTTCTGATTACTGCTACTGTTCATTTGTTCTGCTTTAGGAGAAGTCTCTGATTGTCCATTGTCAATCACTTGTTAATCATTCTTGGAAATACTGATTACAGGTAATTTGTGAGTGCTCGAGTTAGTGAGCTTCTTCGTTAACCAGATATCCGAAAAATGGGGAGCGCCTCGTCTATGCTAACTCAATATGATATAGAAGAAGTTCAGGAGCATTGTCACAACCTCTGTAAGTTGGCTGCTTTTCTTCGTCCTGTCCAACAATTCTGCACCAGTTAGGCTTGTTTTTGTTTTCCCCTGTTATGTTCAATCTGACATCTACTTTCAACTGCCAACTGCAGTCTCCCAACAAGAAATAGTGTCGTTGTATCAAAGATTCTGCCAACTGGATCGCAATGCTTTTGGGTACTTGATTATTATTTAATTTTCGTTTTTTAAAACAATAGTATTCTAGATGTCCAGTTTTCTTACAAAAGTGACATTTGTATATTACAGGATGTCTTTTAGTGGTCGTGTTTTTAAAGGCAAACACCTGATTTTGGAATTTGAATGGCATAGGTTTTTTAAGAAGTTTATCATGTGAAGCAAGTTTTGACTTCAGGAGTTCATTTTCATCAATAAGAGAAATAATTCTTTTATCAAGTGACGATTTTAGCTTATTTTGACACTCAATGGAGTAATTCAGCCTATCTATTTCTTTGTTTTTTTGTTGTAGTTCAGTCATTATCAGACAGTACTTGCTTTTCAAGAGACAACATTCTTTTTGTAAATTTGATAAAGCATGCAAAAAATCAGGTTTTGTTCTAGGTTCATCTTCTAAATCAGAGTCAGAGTCAGAAATTACCTGATGACCGAAGCTGGTTTCCTCACAATCTGTGCCAGACTGGTTTGAAGTAAAGGCCATATATGCAAGATCACCATTTGAGTCAGAGTAATCTGAACTCAGATCACTCCAAGAAGCAGCCAGAGCTTTTTCTTTTGATTTAAATGGGCATTTTGATCTTATGTGTCCTGATTTCCCACATTTATAGCATATTGTGGACTCATTTACAGGTTTATCTTCTTTACTATCATTGTTAAATTTTTCAAGGAAGGACATGTTTTTCGATGAGCTAGAAGTTCTTTCAGTAGGAGCTTTGCTTACTACATCTCTTTTATTTTGAAAACTGTTAGAAGATCCATAATTGACTTTCCTTAATTTGTGATCTCTTTTGAACTTCATCATCTTATGAAAGCGTTTTCCAATGAGAGCAAGTTCATTTTCAAATTCTTCATCTAAATCATCATCAGAATCAAAGTAATAGTCTTGTGCTTTAGATTTAAAGGCGATATTCTTGCGCCTTCTATTATCATCCTTATTCATTTGATTGATAACTTCTTCATGACTTAAGAGAGATCCAATAAGTTTTTCTACAGATAGAGTAGTTAAGTCACGAGCTTCTTCTATTGCAGTTCGTTTAGGCATCCATTCACGAGGTAGAGACCTAAGTATTTTCCTAACAAGTTCCTTACTTGTGAACTGCCTACCTAGTCCTTTCATTCTATTTATGAGATCATTGAATCTCTTATACATTTCAGAGATTTGTTATCCAGAAAACATTTCAAAACTTTCATATTCGTTTAATAGAACATCAATTCGAGTTTCCCTTACCTCTGACGTACCTTCGTGCGTGACTTGCAGAGCTTCCCAAATCTCTTTAGCTGATTCGCACCTGGCTATTTGGCTTCGTTCGTCAGGACTAAGTGCTGAGAAGAGGATATGCATGGCTCTGGAATCGAGTTGAGCAGAAGTCTTTTGTTCATCATTCCAGCTTGCTTCATCATCTTCGTTCATTTCAATGGGCCCTTCTCGCACTATTTTCCAGAGATCACTGTCGACACCTCGAAGATACAGTCGCATCCTTTTCTTCCAGACTGTATAGTCCGATCCATCGAACCATGGCGGATTTGTATTTCCTGAATACCCAGCGGAAGATGTAGAACCAGCCATAGCACCTTGAGGATGTTAATCCAGTTACCAAGGAACCGGCTCTGATACCAATTGAGATTCTAGGCTGGATGGAGATGTTTTTAGGTTTTGGTTTTTTGGAGAATAACACAGCGAAGGAACTGAAAGAAACTGATTTAATTAAGACACTGAAGCTATTCTGCAGTCATCATGACTGCTTTTTGGAAAGGGAAAGACAATCAAAATACAGGTGAAAGAAAGAAAAGGGAAAAACACAGATGGAAGATCGGTGAACTGAGGACCGAACAATCTTCCCACTCCTATCTACCCAGAACCACTCTCTATAGATGAGGAGACTGAAGATTGTTCAAAACAACCCGAACCCTTGACAACCTAATTGATTTACTATTCAAGCTGCAACCGTTACTCTTCTTCATATGGAGATGACCTTTAAATAGGCAGAAATCTTCAGGACCGTTTGAAGAAGGTCCGTTGATGTAGCCATGCTTTTGAGAAGCACAAGGTTTGTAGGCATCCTGGTGCTTGGAGAAAGCGGTTCTCTCTTTTGCTTTTGGGTGCTGAGGAAGAAGATGAAGGATAAGGCTGATAGAACCGAAGCCAATCCAAGCCACTCCAAGGATCGTAGAGATAAGCATCACTGATGAGTTGAGAGCGGCGTTGTATGGTTGATGCGGCAGCGGTGTCGTTTGAGGCTTTGGTGAAGTCTGCGTCCTCTAGTGGCAGCGGCAACGTTTTGGTCGAGACGCGTCGTTTTGGGCTGAGGTGTCATCTCACATATTGCTTCTCAATTCAAGAGATACTCGAGTAGAAACAAACTTAATTCTACTCCTCAGTAGATGCTGATTCAGCAAGATGGCGTTATAGACTTGGGGAATATAAGAGCATGGTAAGAGAACACTCAAATCACAATGATAAAATGAGGAAATTGCATGGACAACTAAGCGCAGAATCATTGACATAGAGAAAGTTGTTTTTGATTTCATTGGTGCATACTTTCACACCTAAGAAATACTTCCACCGCAAACGCGAAATCTACAAAAACCAACCTCCAATGCGTTCTTTATTTGGACGGGATCTAGCAAAAATCTGAATGCAATGCCTTCGACCTTCAGCATGTAGACCTACATAATGTACAATCGGAAGCTTAAACGACCGACTTCCAAGGCAGTGAATCATTTTCCTCATATTCAAAGCTTAACAACATTTCCAAATTCATAATGTCAAGTCCAGACATATGCAGAGCAAACATGGCTCATTACCTGTTCAGGAGTAATAGGCACCACTTTCGCCCCACTCTGCAGTTCCTTTCTCCGCAATCGCACCTTCAAATTGAAATAGCAGAAGGTATAGTTAAGTCACCTTAAAGCACGAAATCATACGATACTAAGCACAACACAATGCGAAATTCTAACCTGAGACATGAATGCTTCGGCGTCTTCTTGGCGGAAGCAGAGCAATCCGATGGACTTAGCTCCATCAGGATCCGAAATGAGGATGAACTCGTTGTTTGTGTTGCTCACAGTGTACACAGTTGTGAGTCTCTTCGCCACGTAATCGGTGCTGAGAGCCGGCGGTGGTTGCTGCTGGTTCGCCTGAGAAACTGAGGCGAACAGCGAAGGCGGTGGGTTGAGCCTCCTGGCAGTTGCCGCCGGCGGGGAAAATGAAGTGTATAGGGCTCGCGTGGTGTCACCCAGCTTTGTGGCGAGCTCGTTCCCTAGGCGGAGGCATTGCTGGTGTAGGAAAGAGGATGAAAATGGGGGTTCGTTTTGCCGGAGAAGTCGATAAATTTTGTATTCTTTCACGCGCGTCGGTTGGGAAGTGGGTTACACTGTATAATAAATACTAGATAATTGGCCCGCGCTCTGCGGCGGGTATCGATAAGTATATTATTGAGTCACACCAAATTGAATTAGACTAAATCTATTCTGATTGTAGCTTGATTTTGATTGCCAAATTTATTATAATTATATTTTTATTTATTAAATTTCTTTAAGAACATATACGACTTTATATTTGTGGAGAATTGGAGATCTTTGAGATATTCTTAAATAAATTTAATTAAAAACATATGTACTTTGTATGATGTATCCAAAAAAATTTTTAAAAAATCATCAAATTGTTCTCAATATATCTTCTTATAACTAAGTTTACCATAATTATCCAAAATTTTAATTTTAACATAATTCGTCATCTCAAATGTGTGCAGTTTTCAATCGAACACCATTATAAGATCGTAAATACTAACATTCACAAATAGCATAGTTCTGGAATTTTTTTTTTCCAAAGAAGATTAGAGTAACTGAAAGAAGACAAAGTGTAAAACACTTGACTTGCATGCATAATTGCATATCAATCCATGTAAGATCGTGACATTGGAAAAACACATAATAAGAATGTTTTTTTTTACGAAAAAATAATAATCAATCCATTGAGGAGGATGCATGTTTTGTAATAAATAGTATTTTATAGTATACGCTATCATGTGATCTATTCACCGTTCGTAGGATGAGTTGTTTGCTAAGCAAAGCAAGTTAACCTTGAATACTTGACTAAGTACTTGAAGGACTTCTTGTCCAGTTGACTTTTCTAAAAATATATGATTGTTGAAGTGGATCGCAATTCGAAGGTGACCTTGGCCAATGTAGGGGAAATTGTCGAAGGAGGAAGAAATGAGTGTTCTAAAAGTTGTATTTTTTAATTCAAATTTCATTATGTCTTTTTGGAATAGTAAGACCATATGGTAAATAGTCCTTTTTACATACATAAAGTACTATGCTCAAACATTTCGGCAATTAGAATACCCAAATTATTAGAAATCATGATTTTTTGTAATCTTAAATCATATGATCTCGTTTAAAGTATAGGCGTGTGACAATAGAAGTAAAAAAATTATTACAAATCGGCTACAAACAATTTATTAGAAGCCCAAAAGGCCAATCGAAGAAACTACTAATCCACATGATCATTAATTACTAATCAACCACTACTTGAACAGTTAGAATGGATACTTTACTAACCGAAATCATAATATGTATTAAGTGTGTCTAAAAAAAATGTTTACTAAATGGGATCAAATGCTTTGCTAATGATGCACCAACCACTGCAATTCAGCAACCACCATAACTTCAACCAATACACATTCAAATATTCTCATTGTAAATACCTTTTAATCTCACACATTTTATTATGAATATCAACGAAAGCATCATCAAAATGCCAAACTGATTTAGGCATTTTAAAAAATGCCTAAGACTTGGACATCTCTATTATGCAGCAAGTTCTGCAATTGCACATCGTGATTTGGATTGGAGTGGTGTGTAGTGAAACCATAAGATTAGTGGAGTTTGCCAAATGTCATTCTTTTGCTGCCAAATGTAACTCATGCATATATGATATCTTGCAAAAGAAACATATATAAAATGAGAAGAGTAGACTCTTCGGCGGAGAGTATCTAGTAGCTAGCATTCGTTGATTAAAATAAGAATGAACCCATTCTAGTCTCTCCAACAACCAATTTCTGTTTATATTCTTCTCCGACGAATCAATCTCCACCAAATCATATTCAACACGTGATAATGCAGAGTAAACCTTGATACGACCAGGGTAGAATTAAAGAGGGCAAATCGGACGTGCAGTGGAAAAAATATAGATAGATGACATGCAATTCCTTTCTCTAGCAGTCTCTATTATATATGCCCAGACGGTCGGGCATCTCAAATTCCAAGCTGCAGAGGACGATTTCTAGCTCAATTGCTGAACTGGAGAGAAGTGATAGGGAGTGGGGTTCTGCATTTGTCCAACTCTGTTATTGAATAGCTTCTGGGTGGGAGAATTGATTCGAAATTCACAGAAGATGAATTTCGTTGCTCGCCTTGCTTGATAAATGGAACTTTGGAAGCGACTGTGGATTTGATCGATCACTCGAGCCCTTTCAAACTTGACGATGGTGACCCCTGTCCTTCCTTTCTAAAATTTTCCTTTTCCCTAATGCAAAGTCGCCAGCCAGCCGACGGGGAAAGCTAAAAGCAGTTCGGTACAATGACGGAGAAAGAGGTGCAGGAGCTTACTATGGATATGACCGCATCCTACTAAACCCCTTAAGTATGATCTCGTTTAAAGTATAGGCGTGTGACAATAGAAGTAAAAAAATTATTACAAATCGGCTACAAACAATTTATTAGAAGCCCAAAAGGCCAATCGAAGAAACTACTAATCCACATGATCATTAATTACTAATCAACCACTACTTGAACAGTTAGAATGGATACTTTACTAACCGAAATCATAATATGTATTAAGTGTGTCTAAAAAAAATGTTTACTAAATGGGATCAAATGCTTTGCTAATGATGCACCAACCACTGCAATTCAGCAACCACCATAACTTCAACCAATACACATTCAAATATTCTCATTGTAAATACCTTTTAATCTCACACATTTTATTATGAATATCAACGAAAGCATCATCAAAATGCCAAACTGATTTAGGCATTTTAAAAAATGCCTAAGACTTGGACATCTCTATTATGCAGCAAGTTCTGCAATTGCACATCGTGATTTGGATTGGAGTGGTGTGTAGTGAAACCATAAGATTAGTGGAGTTTGCCAAATGTCATTCTTTTGCTGCCAAATGTAACTCATGCATATATGATATCTTGCAAAAGAAACATATATAAAATGAGAAGAGTAGACTCTTCGGCGGAGAGTATCTAGTAGCTAGCATTCGTTGATTAAAATAAGAATGAACCCATTCTAGTCTCTCCAACAACCAATTTCTGTTTATATTCTTCTCCGACGAATCAATCTCCACCAAATCATATTCAACACGTGATAATGCAGAGTAAACCTTGATACGACCAGGGTAGAATTAAAGAGGGCAAATCGGACGTGCAGTGGAAAAAATATAGATAGATGACATGCAATTCCTTTCTCTAGCAGTCTCTATTATATATGCCCAGACGGTCGGGCATCTCAAATTCCAAGCTGCAGAGGACGATTTCTAGCTCAATTGCTGAACTGGAGAGAAGTGATAGGGAGTGGGGTTCTGCATTTGTCCAACTCTGTTATTGAATAGCTTCTGGGTGGGAGAATTGATTCGAAATTCACAGAAGATGAATTTCGTTGCTCGCCTTGCTTGATAAATGGAACTTTGGAAGCGACTGTGGATTTGATCGATCACTCGAGCCCTTTCAAACTTGACGATGGTGACCCCTGTCCTTCCTTTCTAAAATTTTCCTTTTCCCTAATGCAAAGTCGCCAGCCAGCCGACGGGGAAAGCTAAAAGCAGTTCGGTACAATGACGGAGAAAGAGGTGCAGGAGCTTACTATGGATATGACCGCATCCTACTAAACCCCTTAAGTAATTAGGCGCTTTATATATACTAATTAGGAACATTAATCATGTGATTAATTAGCGGCTGAACTTCTTAAAAAAATTCATTATACGTAACATGTACTGTAATTTTTCAAAATACACAAATTTGAGTTAATCGCCGTAGCAATGACTACATTGCAACCCAAAAATTTACTTCGTTGACATGGAGACAATATATGTATGACTGTGACGTAGATTATTGTCTATATGGTATGTAAACCAATAAAAGTGATTTATGTCGATAGAGAACTAATAGAAAAAACACAGTGAATTTAGCTACTAATAGAGTATGATGTATTCGAATTAAAGTACTAGCTACGTTACAATAAACTTGAAAATTGTTTAACACTTTAAATTGTGACATCAAATCTTCTCCGGTGTAGACTTTTGGGAATTAGTATAAATCGGATGTTGTAAAATGTGGGAAGGAAGAGAAGTCCCCTTGCTTGGAGGGCTTGACCTCCTTATATAGGAGTCAGAGGCATCTAGTGGGTGGATGCCTCCTAGCGAATGGACGCCTCCTAGTGATGGACGTCCCCGGATGGGATGGACGCCTTCGGGTAAAGGACGCCCCCGGTTGAACTGGACGTCGCCCGGTGTACTGGACCTTAGAGTGGACTTGGGCCCAAGGTGAGACGCTTTGTGCCTTTGTGGTGGGTTTGGGCCCGTATTAGACGGGTTAATTATGAAAGTTTGATTCAAAATATGATTAGTGTAATATTAATATGATACTTGGATAGAAGAATCAGAAATATGGTACTCAACAAATTTATTGAGTAAACTAGGTTAGTGAAAACCAGATTGACGATGTCGAGGAAGGCAGCTAACTAGGTTTCAATATGGTGTCACATGATGCAATGTTTGCATTACAAAAACAACATGTTGTGAATACTTTAGTTTGTGTTGTGTGAATATTTTGATATTTTTTTGTTTCATTTTATTTTGAAAAGCACATCCAAATTATAATAAAATTAGTCTTGTTAGATTAAAATATTAAATTAAGACGAATTCACAAATTTCATTAAAATTTTGTAGCCAAGGGGGAAATAGCCGTATGCTCAAACCAAACGGCCCAGTTTATTCGGTCTATAATGGATAGACGCTTTGAACCAGCTAGTTGGCCGGATTACTTTAATTTATTAATTATGGAATGAGGGAGAGAGTTAGAGTTGAAAAACATTTATTTGAGTCGAACCCACAATTTGAATCTATGAGTCCATAAATTATACCTATAAAGAAATATAGACCATCTAGCTATTCGCATTAAACCAATTCACACCTTCATTATCGGTGTTTCCACATTTATGTTTGTTATAAAAAAAAAGTTGCAAAAATTACACTAGAGTTGATATTCATTTTTTTAGCCAATGTAATAGGTCTAATTTAGACTCAAACTAAATAGTCGTTTATTGGTATGACCTTCAAGTGATATTACCAAAATATGATTTGATTGGTAATAAATTGAGTTTGGGAAGGATGTTTTTTTGCAATTCATAGTGGAGGGAATTTTTTAGGCCACGTTTCGCATTAGTTGTTCATTCACCACCACATCCTACACTAAGGTATCACTTTCCAATAAGACTTTTTAATTTACTGCGAAATGAGATGATTTAAATTCCTTCACTTGTGGGTTTCAATATAGTAAATTTGCAATCACTTATTTACATAGTTTTCATCTCCTACTTTTAAATGTATGAGATTTAAAGTTTCTTTATTTAAATTTCATAGCAAAATATGAACCTGTAAACATTGGCAGAGGTGAGTGAACAACTAAAGATCACAATGATTGTACCTTTAGTGGTATGGAGGTATATTTGAGCTCATAAATCATTTAACAACATCTCATCTTTCATTGAAAACTAAGCAAAATTTAGGGAGTCATTCATTGTTATATAAAAGTATTTGAGTAAAATATGTTTGGAAACTGAAATTGCATGCATTAGTGAATAATAGAGTTCTTAATTGATATATATATATATATATATATATATATATATATAATAGAGGAGTATATTATACTTATAACCCATTAAAAAATATACAACAAATTTGTTCAGTC